TATTTTTTAACACAAGTATCTGTACTTTTACTCAAGTACGGAAAGTGAGTACTTTTGCCATCTCTGGTTGTACATAGCAAAACATAAACTTATTTTTAACCATTTAATATAGTTTTTTTTTTAGTTAATTACATGATAAATTTAATAAACTTTAAATTATCATTTTCTTTTTTTTTGGGGGGGGGGTTGGAAGTTCTTCCTTTAACTGAGCATTTCTTCCTATCAGAGGTCTGTTAGTCTAACAGCTCCTGTGCTCTTCCTCCCCTGTCATCATCAGTTCTGCTGGTGGTTTAACCTTCAGTGTTTGAACAGGTTGTCATGTTGCATTAACTTTTCCCACGTTTCTCACAAACATCATGTTTTTTTTCTCTGTGTGGAGATAGAATAACTCCCCATAGGCTTTAATGATTGATCCGTAGCTGTTTGAGCAGCGGATCATGCCATGCTTGGCGTTACGTACTGATGCGTACTACACACTCACCAGCTGGAAGTAAAAGTAGTTCCGGTCCAACACATGCTTAGGCAATCCTCTTGTAAACATGCATTTACTAAAATGACTGTAGTATGGAAAGTATAGAACTCTGAATTTGTAAATCGATTTTAGAGCATTTGGTTTTCCTTCGAGTTCTCTGCAATTGAGACTGTCACAATAAAAGACGTGTAACAGCAATTTGAACAGTAGTTTTATCCAAATAATTCAGTGAAAATATTTTCTATCTGTGCAGTTATTTCTTGTGAAATGCATTCGTATTTATTTATTTTCACTGTGAATCACTGTGAGTTTTATATTTTTTCAGAGTAAAATTATATATTTTTTCCAGTCGTTTAATTAACGGTTATTTAAATTATTTAATGACATAAAGGACCTTTTTTTTTTTACTGTCGCTGTTTGATGGTATTTTACTGTATTTTTTTTTTTTTTTTTTGATTTTTTAACTTAGATTTCAGGTCACAAGTTACGCAGAACTTGATGCCAAACTTGTTAAGTTGGAACCAGCAGCGAGTCTTTTTTGGGAAAACTTGCTCATCAGCTGTGATCTGTCTGCCTGTGTCGTTAGCAATAAGTATTGATCTACTAATCTGCCAGGTAATTACTACATTTACAAATGAGTGGAGGCTAACTGTTGACTATTGCTTTGCTAATTTTAAACTATGCAACCTTTAGACTGTGTTTGCTAGTCAACTAAAGCAGCTTTCCAGATGAAATTAGCCGGTTGATGTGGGTTATCTAAACCCGTGTTTACGCCCTGACAATCGGCATTTGGATGCGTTCCCCCAAAAAAGGCAGGCAGGCAGTGTGACCTCTGTTCCCCACCGATGCGGGTCTGATGACACCATCACACTGGGCTAGCAGTGGTGATCTCATTGGTGCGACAGAAATCAGGAAAGTAAACAATGAAGAGCAACATGGAAGGAAGCCGGAGCGTAGTCAGTGGGCTTTATTGTTTCGCTCTTTTGTCCGTCAGAATCCTTCTAACCAGTGCTGCGCCAGTTTATTGAATGCAAGCTGAGTTTTTTTTGCTTGTTATATCAAACGCAACTGGTGCCATGTTGCGACGTACGTAGAGTCGTTTGACGCGATTCGCACTGCTACTAAAACGCGATTGTTCGCAGGTTTAAACAGTTTTTTTGGCCAGTGGGGTATTAGTTAAATGAACTACACTCACCGGCCACTTTATTAGGTACCCCATGCTAGTAACGGGTTGGACCCCCTTTTGCCTTCAGAACTGCCTCAATTCTT